CACCCCGGGCCGGCGGCGAGGTGGGAAGTGGGGGGCTTCGTCAGCGAGGTTCGGTGACAGCTGGGTGGGCACAGCTCCCGTTCTCAGCCCGCTATTGCGCGGTAAGATCTGGAGAGACCTGGAGTCCCCATTGCGTGCACAGTGGATCGGCTGTAAGGCTGGAGTTCTCGCAGGCTGCCCCAGGGGATTTGGGAGTTTCTTAGTGGAACCCCAGGTGGCCCTCTTTTCGCTGCCGCCTGCCTCCTCTACTGCAGTCCGCTGCTTGCCAGGCGGTGCGTCCTGCATTCATCAGGGGACGTATTTTATTTACACACACAGACCCGCCCCACAAAGTCTGACATCTTCCCGCGTTGTTTAAGTACCCTGATAGGGGACACTTGGCAGTAAACGGCTGATGACTGGCCACTTTAGACCTCAGCGCTGAAGGGATGCTGAGGGGTTGTTTTATTTCTCACGTACTGGATTTGCAGCTGAAGAAAGGCTCCAGGAGGGTCAGGATACTGCAGAGCAGCAGCCTGATGGGATGTAGGCCTGTGGACACTGGGCTCTGTGCCTTCCATCCTGTCGAATTTTACCTTCTCTCAGCCCTTTAAGGCGGTATCAGGGGCATCTTTTATAAGTGGAACCCTGATTTGTCCATTTACACTCAATATTGCCACAAACTCTGAACAGGACACAGATTGGTAACCAAATGCTGAAGAAAACCCTGTGTGTTGCTAGTAGGGTATAGAGCTGAGAGATGAGAGTCTGAATGGTTTTTTTTTTTAATTAATTTTGAAAATTGGGTGGCAGAAGTTGGGTAGGCACAGTAGTGTACATTTGTAATCCCAGCAACTGGATAGACTGAGGCAGGAGGCTAACAAGTTCAAAGATTTGTGTTGTTTTAAAAACTTTGTTTAAATTTGAAATTATATCAAGTGTATAAAAGATTATAGACTTAGTACACACCAACTTAACTCTTGTGAAAAGATGTTCAGTATTGCCAGCTGGTAGGGAAATATGAGTTAAATCTGAAATGGAATATCACTACACACATACTGAAATGGCTAAAATAAAAAATATAGGTAGTTCCAAAATGGCAGAGATGTTAAGAAGCTGGGTCCCATATGCTGCTTGTGGAGTATTCAGTAGTACCGTCCCTGTAGGGATCAGTCTGGCAGTTTCTCCAGAAAGTTAAATCTGCCCTGCACTCATGCATTTGTCCTAGATAATTGAAAGCTTATTTTCACATAGAAATCCATATGCAATTTGTAATTGCCCAAGACCAGAAATGACCCACATGTCCCTCAAAGGGTAAATGGTTTAATAAACTAGCATGTTCACATCAGGGGTGTGCCTTAGCAGGACCCGTGGCATGATCTGTGTTGGCCTCAGGGGTGTTGTACTGAGTAAGGCCACTCAGAAGGTCTTTCCCAAATGATTTATGTGACATTCTTAAAGTGCACTACTCAGAGTGATAGAGAAGAGGTTAGTTGCCAGATCCTAGGACAGTGGGCAAGATTGAATGTCACCTTAAGGTGCAGGAGAATGATCTTTGGTGATTGTGGGATAAGTTCTCATGGTGGTAGGTACACAAATCTGTACATGTGATAGGCAAGTGTCAGCATTGGAGAAATGTGAGTAAGGGGTCCTCAGGATCTTTCTGTATGATTTTTATAACTTCTATGGGTCTGTAATTATTTGAAAATAAAAAGTGGAAGTAACTGTGCACACTATTCAATTTGATTCCCTAAATGTTAGTATCTTGGATGACCACATACAAGTATGAAAACCAGGAAATTAACATTGATGGATCACTATCATCCAGTCTACAGATCTAACTCAATTTCTCATGTCTTTGTCTAAGACCAGTGAGGTCATACTGCTTCATCCAATTCCAACGTAGCAGCACTGAGTTGTTCTAGCCAAGGGTCAGCAACCTGTGGCCTCCACCTGTCTTGTGAGTAAAGAGTCCTTGGAGCATAGTCCTGCCCTTTCCTTTCCTTGTCACCTGTGGCTGTTCTTGAGTGCTGGAGAGGCTCTCTGGCTAGCAAAGTCTTGGGTGCCTTCTCACGGGCCCTTCCAGGAGTGGTTTACTGACCCCTTTCTTTCTCTGTCAGTGAGAAGTCCGCCTCTTATTAGCCTCAGTCTGTGCCCAAGTACACATAAAGTAGCTTCACAGTGCTGCTCTACACTACTGGGGAACCCCCAGCTGACTGGATTGTATGATTGCTGAAGTGCTGCTTGTCTTTAAAGGTCACCATGCTGTCTTCAAGAGTCACTTGGGTTGGTTCTCCCTACTCTCATATTATCCATTTGCAGTGTTAGCTTTGTTTGGTTTGTGTTCTGTGTGAGCATCTCTATCATCTTTTCATTTAGTTACTTGAGTATGGGAATCCCAGACGTGTTTCAAAAAGTTAAAACTTTTCTTCCATTTGGTTCCCCCACCTTATAGGTAGCCAGTTTCTGAGTTTCTCTATACACAGGAGCAGACCTTTATGTCTCCTAGTAGGAATAATCTATCACTGTCAGACCCAGTGGGACAGACTTTGTGTGCAGTACTGCATGTTCTCCTTATAGCCTGAGGATAGAGCCATCCTCACCATTTTGTTGGTGAGTAAGCTGAGGCTAAATGTTGGCATGACCTGCCCAGGCTTGCAGCAGGAGGTTTCAGGAGGGGTTCAGTCCTGTGGTGAGGCTTGCCTGCCTGCAGAGAACAGACCTCCCTCAGACTGCCAGCCCAAGCTGAGAAGGTGGCTTTAGAGTAAGGACACATTGTTTGAAAAGTGGGACCTGCTCTGCCCAGCAGGTTGACTTGTTATTTTGGACCTAGGTGACGTGACAATGGATGCTGTTTTGGCTCGGTTAAAACTCCTGAGTCCAGATGACCTCAGAGAAGAAGTCTTCAGAGCTGGATTGAAATGTGGCCCCATTACATCAACCACAAGGTTCATTTTTGAAAAGAAATTGGCTCAGGCTTTACTAGAGCAAGGTGGAGTGCTGCCCTCCTCTCTTCCCAACCTCAGGGAGACAGCTGCAGCACTCAGCCAAGACACACAGAGGACTCTGCCGTCTGCTGAAGGAAACCTGACTGTGCAGGCCAGTTTTTCTGAAGACAGAGATTTTAATTACAGTGTGGGCTTGAATCCGCCAGAGGAGGAAGCTGTGGCATCCAAGGCACGCCCAGAGCCCCTAGGTGCCTCCGTCAGGAGTAACACCCACCAGGCTGGAGCAACGCCCTCTAAGGAGCCATCCCTGTACTATGGAGTGTGCCCAGTGTATGAGGATGGCCCAGTGAGAAATGGTAATGGGGCTGTCAGAATGGGATGCCCTGAAAATTCAAAGTTACAGATTAAAAAAACTGTCCAACCTTTTTAGTTTAGATCTTTGGTACAGTGTAGTATCATAAGATATGAAGTTACATAATAGGTATACAATAATATCGTGCTTTGTACAGATATATATAATCAAATTTATTAATGTGGTTCTCTTTGCTAGCTGAGGCGCTCTTGCAAGCTTAAAAATCTGAACTGTGAGAGTAAAATCAGGAGACTGGGTAACACTGTGTTGACAGTTGGCCCAGGTGTGATAAAGCCACAGGGCTCCAGTTTCTTGTTGCTAATTGTTCTGTGCTTTTCCCAACCAGAAAAGATCCATGTTTATGAAGATAAAAAGGAGGCATTGCAAGCTGTCAAAATGATCAAAGGGTCCCGATTTAAAGCTTTTCCAACCAGAGAAGATGCTGAGAAATTTGCTAGAGGAATTTGTGACTATTTCCCTTCTCCAAGCAGAGCCTCGTCACCGCTGTCCCCTGTGCGGGCAGCACCACTCCTCAGCAGTGGTGGGCTGAAAGGTAAATCATGCTACCATCAGGCTCCCCAAGATGCCTTGTGCCCTCCTTCTGACAGATGGCATCTTACTCTCTCCGTTTGTAGAAGTCTGGTGTGAGCAGAGGCCCCTGCAGTGGGGCAACAAAAGGGGAGGGTCTCAGGGCTTGGTCAGGAGGTTTGGAAGGCAAGGTGGGACCTGGGAAGCCTCCTGGGGTCTGGAGTAGACAGGCCAGGACTTGGCAAGAAGAGTTCTATTGGCCCTTCCATGTGTGCCTTGTCCACCTGCTGCCAGCAGGGTCCAGGTCTCTCTGAGACAGTGTGCATACCCATCTGAAACCTCACCTGCTTCTAGGAGCATAAGATGGGCTCCCCTGGGGGAGCCAGAAGTCTGACCACACCTGCGCCCTGCTAAGAGCTGGGATCTTTTGAGAGGCCCGGCTTTGTCTCTCCTTACCTCCTTGGCTTTGGTTCCCTCTCCTGTGCATTTTTCTGGGCTTCCCCACTGGCTGTGTTCTGGAGGGAAGTTGCCTTGTCTGGAGGGAAGTTGCCCTGTCAGGAAGGGCTGGTCTTTAGTCAAGGGCCTTTCTGTTGACTATTCTCTTTTCCCTTGCTTAGCCTTACACAGTCCACTCCTCACAGTTGTGAGAGTTCGGCTGAAGGACATTTAAGACATTCTCAGGTGTTGTGATTAGACCTATGGAAACCATATGTGGAGCCCCCCTTTCTGGAAATTCTTGCGTGCTAGAATTCACAGCAGTTCGAGGCTGCTGGTCCTGCTCCACCTGCCAAGCTGCCTGGTTAATTTATTCACTGATTTGTTCAGATCGCACTGAAGGACATGTCATTCACACAGTCACTCCTGGCTGGACTTGGTTGGTGGGTTTGTGCATGAGCACAGTGCACAGGTGCTTTCCTTGGTTGGCTGCAGCACACCCACAGCTTTCCTTGCTCCTCACCTGTCCCTCCTGAGGCTGCCATACTGCCTGGGAGGTCACACATAGCAGCACAGAGAGTGGTGAGGAGGTGTAGTGAGTGTCCTTCACTTCTGTGTCCCTATGGCAGATGGTCTGTGCTTATCTGAACCAGAAACAGTAAACAAGGAGCGAGCAAACAGCTACAAAAACCCCCGCACGCAGGACCTCACTGCCAAGCTGCGGAAAGCTGTGGAGAAGGGGGAGGAGGACACCTTTTCTGACCTTATCTGGAGCAACCCCCGGTATCTGATTGGCTCAGGGGACAATCCAACCATTGTGCAGGTAAGTCAGCTTTCAGCTTCTCTTCTGCCATGTGGTCACCGCACTTATGACAAAGACCATTTGAAATCAGTGGGGCTTGCAGTGTGCATTTGTCTTTCAGGAAGGGTGTAGGTACAACGTCATGCATGTTGCTGCCAAAGAGAATCAGGCTTCTGTCTGCCAGCTGACGTTGGAAACACTGGAAAACCCCGAGTTCATGCGGCTTATGTACCCGGATGATGACCAGAGCATGCTGCAGAAGCGCATCCGCTACATCGTGGACTTGTATCTGAACACCCCGGACAAAGTGGTGAGTGCTGCTTCAGCCTCAGGCAGACTTGCTTTCTGCACAGTGTGCTGAGCCCTGGAGAGCGAGCAGCTCTGGTGGACAGAGTGCTTAGGAGGTGGGTTGAGAAGGCAAGGCCCTTCCCACAGGAGCCTCCCAGGGCCTGGTGTGGCATGGCCCAGGTGTGCCTGTGTGGAGTGAAGGAGGTTTTCTGCTTTGTGTTCTAGTGTCCTATGTGTGTCCTCCTCCTCCTCACTGAATGTTGTGTGAGGTGTGTTTCCTGTGGGGTCACAAAATTTCAAAGGCACAAATTCTGGTGACTGCGTAAGGTGTGAAGGAAGGATCTTGAAATGAGTTTAATCTACATGAAAGCATCCAGTGGCAGGTTGGAGCCAGGGCCGGAACTCCCAGCAGAGCCTGGCAGTTGGGAGTGTCCTGGGTAGAGCTGCAGGAGCACATGGTGATGGGCGTGGCTTTGTGACAGCGTCTTGTGCAGGTTCTTTTCCTTGTTTCCTAAGTTCTTTTCCTTGATGTAGTATAGCAGCTGTTAGCACAGGTTTACCCTGCGTTGGGGATTATAAATGAGTAGAGGCTATTTAAAGTGTGTGCTGTTGTATATAAGGACTTGAGCATTCAAGTGTTTTAGTGTCTTGTGAGGAGGATCAATCTCAGGAGGCCATCAAGGGACTACTGTAAGTCACAATATCAGGTGATTTCAAAAAAATAGTAGCAAACATGGAATAGGAAAGAATGGATAAAATAAAAGTGTGCTGAACTAGTAGTAAACTGAGCAGAGGCATCACATTTATGTACTACCACCCACAGCCAGTCTGTACAGCTGTGTAGGGCTTTGTGTCCCACAGAAAACACTTAGCGATACTAGGATTCAAACCCAGGACTCCAGGCTAGCTAGACAAGCACTGTACCACTGAGCAACACTCCTAGACTTTTTAATTTAATTTAATTTTGAGACGGAATCTACCTAAGTTGCTGAGGCTGGCCTTGGACTTGGCGAGCCTCCTGCTTCAGCCTTCTGGGTAGCTGGGGTTATAGGTGTGGCCACTGTGCTAAGCCATCTGTTTGTTTCTAAAGGGTCATGCAAAATTCATAGAAAATGTCTGTCTGTGTTAGAACTAACAGAGCTATTTATGGTGGCCCCCTTCAATGATCCTAGTGACTGGGGAGGCTGAGGCAGGTTGACGAGAAGTTCAAGGCCAGCCTCAACAACTTAGTAAGGCCCCAAGAAATTAGTGAAACTATCTCAAAATGAAAAATAAAAAAAACTCGGGGGTGTGGCTCAGTGGTTAAGCATCCCTGGGTTCAATGCCTCGTACCAAAAAAAAAAAAGGTAAGAAATTATTTCATAGTTTAGCAAGAAAGCTAGCTTATTAATTATTAAAGTAGAGGTTTCAGGGCACATCTTAAGATGACCTTAAAAGTAGGAAATACCTGATTATTTAGAAGGTCATGGGTCTGTGAGCAAACAGCTCACTGGGACATAGTGGTGAGACTCAGGGCTCAGTGGGTCAGCAGGATGTGGGGAGAGTGTGTAGCTCTGTAGCGGGTACCCGGCATGGCAAAGGGAGGGCTGGAGGACTAGAGCATGGATCATGGAACAGGCTAGAGAGTGGGCCCCAACGTGCCCAGATCCTTGGAAGGCAGCAGGAAGTATTGTCCTGTTATGTAGCAGAGGTGAGGGGCTGGGTGAGAGTATGGCTGAAGTGAAGGACCCTGGGATCTGAGTGTTCTGAGGAAGGTGTGAATGGAGAAAGGCCAAGTGGTGGGGAAGGTCCTGCATGTCGCCAGCTCTCAGCTGTCTCTAGAAACTGTGAGCTCATCCATTGATGTTTGTCTGTGGCTGTTACAGGGACAGCATTAGGCAGCAGCAGCAGACAATCAAGAGAAAGCAGGCTAGCTCCCACCAAGGGGACAAGGTGCAGGGTAGAGGCATCATGAGGACCAGGGGACTATCCAGCAGGGGACAAGGTTCCATGGAGAGGCGCCATAAGGACTAGGGTTAGGGTTAGGGTTAGGGTTAGGGTATAGTCCAGTAGGGGACAGGGTGCAAATCTCTCGGACTCAGCCAGGGACAGAAGATGAATGCATAAAGGAGTAAGGCCCAGAAGCAAGAGTATGGTGTTCTTGGGGACAGTGGGGAGTGACACTGGAGAGCTGGGGTTGCTGTCTTGTGCTGGAGGGGTCTGGAAGGATGTGCGTTTGCTGCTTCTGGATCTTCCTCTGCACATCCCAGCTTTGGCCTTGCACAACTCAGTTTGGAAGTCCTGTTGACCATAGGCCTACTGGCCTGTGGGTGCCCTCAAAACTGCCTAAAGGTGGGGGTGGGTGGAGCTGTGCAGAGGGCAGGGAAAGGTATGGAGCCTGGGCCACCACCGTGTTGTCAGAGCATCAGGAGGCGAGGTGCTCAGTGGCCTGAAGACATAGTTAAGAGAGACCCGTTTCCTGTGGAATCCACAGCAGAGAGCTATCCTTGCGGGTAGGCCACATCCATGGGCTTTGCTCTGATCTGGTCATGCCATCCTATTCCAAGCCCTGGAATAGACTGGGTACATCCCAGCATGCCAGGTGTGTGTTGACTATAACAGCAACATCTTCTATAGTCTTTTTAGTTTTGAGGCTTTTTTTTTTTTAAGTAAATACCTATTTCACCTCACAACTATATTAAAGGTTGAATAATTATACTTCCTCTGCACTTCTTTCAGGGCTATGACACACCTTTGCACTTTGCTTGCAAGTTTGGGAATGCGGATGTGGTCAGTGTACTTTCTTCACACCCTTTGATTGTGAAAAACCCAAGGAATAAATATGGAAAAACACCTGAAGATGTAAGTAATTCTTAAAAACGCAATTATACTGTGGTGCTAGAAATGAAAATACAAGCTGGTTGCGTTTGTGCACCTCTGTAGTCCCAGTGACCCTGAGACTGAAGCAGGGAATCACAAGTTCAAGACCAGCCTGGGCAATTTAGTGAGATCCTGTCAAAATACATACATACATTAATAAATAAAAAAAAGATCACACTTGGTTGTTTATGCCTGTAAGCCCAGCAGCTCAGGAGGCTGAGGCAGGAGGATGATCTGTTCAGAGCCAGCCCCAGCAACTTGGTGAGACCCTGTCTCGAAGTCAGAAACAAAAAGGGCTGGGGATGCAGCTCAACATGGAACACTCCTGGATTCAGACTCCAGTACTGGAAAAAAAAAGAAAAGACATAAATGTGCTGTCTGTGATCACAGCTCCAGTGAAGTCAGAACGAGTGTGTTTGCTTGCTTTCAGGCGTTCCTGATACCTC